CATTAATAACTAATCGGTTTTATTTTGCATTAGATAGATGTGGAGAGGTTAAGGATATTTCTCTCAACATTTCTAAATTTTTTGATTAAGTTTGGCATGCTGGTCTTCTTGATAAGCTCTCTTCTTATGGTGTATCAGATAAAGATTTTAAGATTATTAAATTCGTTCTTACCAATTGTAGTATAAAATTTGTACTCAATGGAAAGCACTCTTTTTCATTTCTTGTAACTTTAGGGGTTCCTCAAGGTTCTATCTTTGGCCTTATACTTTTTTTAATTTACATTTATTATCTCAGAAATTCTCACATCAAAGGTAACATTGTTTGCTAATGATACTATTGTTTATTGTTTTGGTAAGAAGCCAATACTCTCTGATTGCTTGGAGGGGGCATTTGAGCTTGAAAAGGATCTCTCTTCTGCTACAGCATGGGGCTTTCAGTGGCTGGTGAACTTTAACTCAGATAAAATAATTTTTTCAGCTAATTATTATTGCAATAATCTAGATCTTCCTATATTTATGAATGTAAATGTACTCGATGAGTTATCTACCCTTCATCTTCTAGGAATGACTCTTTCTTCCGATCTTTCTTGGAAACCATATACCAAACCCATTGCAACATTAATATCTGCTTAGATATTAAAGGTTGCATCTCTTTATTGTGGTTGCTGCTTTTTTATTCTAGATTCTATTCTTTATCTCTATAAATCTCACATTCATTCTTGTATGGAATACTGTTGCCATATCTAGAGCAGATCTTCGAATGACCTTTTTCTTTTAGATCTTCGAATGACCTTTTTCTTTTAGGTGCAAAAGCGCATTCAATTAAGTCGCAACTAATTTCTGTGACTGTTCCTAAGTGCTCCAAATATTTTCATTTGTCTAGTTTTTTTCCTCGAACATCAGTTATTTGGAATTCACTTCTTCATCTTGTTTTCCTGATTCATATCATTTGTAATCTTTTAAGTTATCTGTTTATCATTATCTTGCTTTATAAACTTCATCTTTTCTCTTTGAGTAACTTTTAACTCTAGTGGTGGTTGCTTGCAGTCTTGTTGGAAGTGAAGGTGTTTAAAAAAAACAAAATAACCTATACAAGTATGATTAGTCAGTCTATCAAATATAAAATTGTCAGCAAAGATATTCTATCCTCACTTTATAAAAATGCAAAATATTTTATCAAATTTTCAAAGATTAAAGGTGAAACTGATATTTTTTTATTTTTAAAAAGGTTTATTTTAATGTTCTTGAAGACATTTTGAACTTGTATGTGAAAGCAAGGACATTTTCAATGTCCTTTCAATAAATTAAAGTTTAACAACTTTAGTTCAAGTCACTGCAAACTTCACTAAAAAAGAACTCATAATTAGGTATAAGTTATATATGATTAACAATATGTTAATTTCATATTTGGTTTGGAAACGATTATCTGATCTTATTATCTTAATTTTTAAAACATCTATTTTCATTGCTATTATTGGCTAAAAACATTTTGTGGCATCAGAGTATTAATACTAGTTTTTTATTAAATCGTTTTGTTTTCATTAGAAAAAGTTGACTACAATCATTCTTATATCAAATAAGGGTTTTGCTTTGGAAAAAACTTTAATTATTAGGGGTTGAAATCAAAAGATATGACCATATAAAATTTACAAAACCCTCATTTTGTAGGGATTTCAATCTATACTTAGTTAATAGCTTTTAAATAACATTTAGGCCAAATATTTTAGGGTTAAATATTATTTTGTTTCAAAGTTATGACCATTTAAATTAATACTACAAAATATTAATTTCACTTGATTTAATTATCAATTTAAATAAAGGTTTCAAATTTACACTTAACATTAAGATGGTGTAATATTCATATATAATAATGTATGATAATAATCTAATATAATTTGGAATATTATATAGCATTGTATAAAATTTTCTGAAATAAAATGTTGTACTGTAAAATAAATTGAATCTGTAATATTTTATATTATGATGTCATCTTTAGATGCATAGATATTTGTATAATATTGTATATTATATATACTACTAATGGTACTATATAAAGAAACTTTGTAATATTAAATGATATAATATAATTTACATGATATGTATATTATATGTATAAAATACGAGAATGAATAAAATTTAAATTTGGTAATTTGAGTACTCCACTTCTGTTTTTCTGAGAAGTTCTCTTTGGTATAATCTGAACTCTGAAGTTGAGTACCTTGTTAGAGTTTTTAACTACTGATTCAAAATATTTTTTCAGACAGGCAGCAATATCAGGCTCCATACGCAAGACACTTGAAATCTCTGTTATACTCTTCATTGTAAATAAAATTTTGGAGAAGGATTTACATCAAGTACATACATCTCCATTCTCAACCAGAAGACATGGATGTTTAACATTCTTGTAGAGTTGCATGGAATGTTTTTGGATCCATTTTCAACAAACTTTTTATACAAATTTTTCAGCATATTGGATGTTTTCAGTTCTCCAAGGTTCTTTTTATAACTATCATAAAATACACAGGAATGTTTTCCCTCATATTCTTACAAACCCTTAAATATGTTAAGTAATTTAAGATCTGCTGCCAAGTAGATCTTTAAATCGATGAGCTTTGTTTTCTCTATAAAAATTTGAAGATTGATGGGTTTTTTTTCAAAAATGTTAGCTTTTGCTAACATTTTTGGCAAAACCCAATATCAGAACTTTGTTAAAACCAGTGTTCTTGGTTTCTTTGGAGTCAAATTCACTTCTCTATTAAAAACATTGCAGCTTGTAAAGATTCTTTGCCTCTAAATTCTCCTACAAAAATAATAACTTTATCAATTTTTATTTCTCTTGTTGTGCAAATATGATCAACTAGAGATATGGATCTTTGACATGCATTAGATCTTCAGTTACATTTTCTATAGTTTTATTTGTTCCAACATTATTCTTTGATTAAAACTCTACTTTTTCCACTCTGTAGTAGTTATCTAGAGCCTATACAAAATCTTAGAGCCTATACAAAATCTTAACTTCTTTGAAAAAACTAGATTCAATATCTAATCTACTTAAATCTTTTCTACATTCCGTTTCTATCGAACCAATAGTACAATCTGACATATGTTTTAGTATTATAAAATGTCTGGCTTGAAATAGTTTTCAGGATTGAATGTTTTCCAATATGTAGACTTTTGATTTTAAGCAACTATGTAAATAAAACTAGTGCTATCTGTTAAAATCTTGTAAGTTTAGTTAATAGTTATAAAATTTTTGCATTAAATTGTCTAATATGCTAGTGGCAGCCCTGCTTATAACATCAATCTATTCAAGCAAGAAAAGAAAATAAATTTTATATAATTGCAACATAGTATAATATAATTTAAATGTATTGTTTATTGATCAATTCAATCAATATTCATGACATAACTGTTCATTTAAAGTGTTTTAACAGTTTGTGGTTATGAAGTACCTGTTCATTTAAAGTGTTTTAACAGTTTGTGGTTATGAAAATAGCTGTTTTAAACCGGTGTATTATAGTGAGGTTTTTATTCACTTTCTGCTTGGTATTGGCTCTTTATTAATCTCAAAGGAAACATTTTCCTGGGAATTACTATCTTTTATTGTTCAGAAGACTTTGATTTCAAATGGTATTATCATTATAGCCAAAATCACGGACAGATGAACTATCCTTGCCAGAACCGATTTGGAGATGATGTTCAAAATATTTTAAATGGATTTTGACAAAATAATTTTGTTAATACATAAGACACACTATGAGAAAGTAAAAAGTTTATCAACTCAACAGCAGAATTAACAGTAATTTTAATACCTTCATAGGTTGTTTTTTTTTTTTTTTTAGTTTTATGGTAATACCATTACTTCCATATACCATAAAGACCATTACAGTTTACAATGCTACTTTTAGCTGTGTTTACAACCCTATCTCATTTTTATAACTCCAAAACATTAACCTTAATGAACAAGGGTGCAATACGGAGAAACAAGTTAGGCAGAGCCCTACCATGTTTGATGATCCCCACCACATCTAAGTTTGATCCCTGCCATGTCTCTGGTATTACCAGAGACGTGGTGGGAATCAAACTCAGAACTTCTAACTTATAAAGCAAGCACTCTACTACTACACCACTACAGCATAAGTTTGCTATTATATAAGTATTATACTTCTATCATTTAGAGTAAAACTTGTCAGTTGTTGACAATTAAAATTCCATCAATAAATTACCTTATCAGTTATTAGAAAAGATGGAGTTTAACCAATTCTCAAAAATACGGAGAAAATTTTTTTTTTTAGCCAGCTGAAATGATAGTCACTAACAGTAGATAATAGGACTAAAAATTTTGGATTGATTCCATAAGATTAGTTATATTCATAAAATTAATACAACTGTTAATTATTGAGCAAAAATTAACAGTAGAAATGTCAACTGAAGATCCATATTTAAAAAGGATTTTACTAACAGTAGTGCTAAAAACTTCATATGCTAATTTGATGTTCATGATAGAATAAGATAATAATTTAATGTGATTGTATAATTTGGAAGTAGATGTAAACCGCATGTTTAGACTTCTTAAAAAATGTCTGCTATGTGTCTCCATAGAATGTATAAACCATTATTCAAAAATATTGTTTCCAGACTATTCATTCTATGACTATGAACAAATAGGTCATTATTAGTGTGTTCAAAAATAAATACTGTGTTTTTGAAAATGAATAAAATATACTTATAATTCGTTGAATTTTTATAGTTTTTGTTACTTTTGAGACACTCATGTTACCCCCTGGACATAAAGAACAAAATAAGACTAAAAAAGTAAAAATATATATATATTTTTAAGCTCCACCTTTATACTGCTATATACTTTTATATACTTACTTATATATGCTGCTATATACAAAGTAGAAATATTTGTTTCCAGCTCATTTGCACAATATTTTTATATGATTTTTAAGTTCTTCTCATGTTTGTTTAAACATTTTATAAATGGCATTTTATAGATTGCATAAGCCCACCAGATGTTTACACTCCAGATTCCAAAAGACCTTTTATGCTTTGTAAAAGTGTTGCGTAAGTTTTTTGATTTGTTTCATATGTTATAAAGCATGTTGTATTATAAAAATAACAAAGATTATGTTGTCTTTATCATCACCTCAAGGACTGTATTTGTGTGCTTGTATAAGTTTGACAGTTTTCCATAATGTTACAGCTAAAATCTCATGAATTAAGTTTTCATATTTTGAGCAGGGCAAATAGGAGATACAAAGAAAAATGGAGGTTGATTGTATTAGTAAAATAGTGCTGGTAATTTTTTTAATTATGAGATATGAATTAGAAGGGTGAACTGAGGTACCATTGATTGTCTTAGTATGATGTATCTGTTATAGCAAAAGCAGTGTGTTACAGTTTTATAAAATCAGCTAAATCCTAATGGCTATATTAAAGTTATAGATTTAGCTCTACAAATTATCATAAAGGAATACCATCTAATGTTTTTTCTAGTGTTTCCTTGTGATAAGACTACAAGGTTTTTGAGATTCCTTTTTAAAAAATAGTGTTTTTACAATGAAAATGATTCGTGAGGTATCCTTTAAGGTCAAAAAATAACTTTTAGGTCAGGCATTTATAAGTTGTGGCAATTAAACATTATTTATTAAGGTGATACACATCTCAATTATGTATATATATATATATATATATATATATAATATAGTTTTTGTTGTAACAGAAAACACTAAAGATTTAACAACTTTGAAAGAATGTGTATTTAAAATAATGTTTTTACTTATAAATTATTTTATTTTAGTTATAATGACAGTAATATCACTTCAAGAGATACATTAAAGGTAATATTTTGTTTGGGTTGATAAAAGTAATTTTATGAGAGTTAATGAAAAAATTTTATTAAACTTTTTCAATTAGGCTTTTGTAATAGTTTAACCATTTTTTTTTCTTTTACTGAAAAAACAGTTTTGATCAAAATCAGTTTGCTCATGGAAAAGTCATAACACATACAGTTATTAGAAATTTGCAATACACTAAGTTAATTCTTTAGAAAAATTTCTTTATCAAAGAGTTCTTTTAAAACAAAAGATTTGACACAACAATAATATCAAATATTTAATATTTGAATTTCTTATGCTTATCAAACAATAGTGAGTATTCCATTGTATATTAGCTTTCACACTAAAGTTACAAATTTTTTTCAAATTGTATGTATGGTAGCACGTTCAAGACTTTAGGACTCGATGATCTGCTGTCATTATTATATCACCAGATACACTCATTAATCATAGAAAAAAAAAGGAATAAACTCAATAATGACTTGGACTTCTCTCTTTTGATACAAATACAGCCCTTATTAATAAATTTGATGATCATAAATCTCATAAATCCAAGCATTGTTAGAGTTATGAAGACCTGGTTCAACAACCAATCAGTCACCAAAGAAGATGGATTTGATTTATATAGAAAAGATAGAAAAAATGGGGGAAAAGGTGGTGGTGTAGCTTTATATGTAAATTAAAATATTGGCTCTTATGAAATAAACTTATGTGAAAAGTGATTTAGAAAAATCTGCACTGTACTTGTAATAGAGAAATTTAAGTATTTAGTTGGTTGTATATATAGACCGAAAAAATTTATAAATATTGATAAATTAAAAAAGTCTTTACAATTGCAAATTCATTTATCAAAGGCTTTGTTGATTTGTTAATAATGGAGATTTTAGTTATCCAAAAATACAATAGTCAAATGGTCATGGACAACTTATTGAAAATAATGATGATTCCAAAGAGGATAAATTTCATGATGTAGTGACCTATATCTCATACAACATGTGTTTGTTCCTACCTTTCTATTATCTGGAAAAAAAACCAATAATACTTTAGACTTAATTTTTACAATGAATGATGAAAACATTTATAGTTTAAAAACAAGTTCTTGGAAATTAAATGAGCAATTAGTGATTTTTAAATGCACTATTAAAGAGTACATTAAAACCAAAATTCATCTTTGATTACAATAGAGGGGAATATGGTTCTATATGGAAAACTGTTAATGAAATTGATTGGAATAGTTTCTTAAAAACAAGTTTCTGTTCAAAATATGTACAATGCTATTTTATAACATTTATATAATGTATGTAATAACTTTATTCCTATAATAAATATGAATTCAAGTAAAAGAAAAACTTCTCGGACAACCTATAATTATAAGAAATAAAATGATTTTAAGATACATAAATTGCGCTTTAGACTGGAGTGACAAAAAATTTAAATTATTATACAAAGAATGGTACAAACAAGTTGATTATGAAATTTCGAAAGCCAGAAAACAATATGAAATAAACCTTGTTCACAAGTCCAAAAAAACAATATGAAATAAACCTTGTTCACAAGTCCAAAAAACAATATGAAATAAACCATCCATGGATGTAATGCCTATTTTTAAGAAAGGTGACAAGTTGTTAGCATCAAACTTTACTTAAACTACTTTACTTCACTCAATTGCGTGTAAAACTTAGAGAAATCATTTTATAGTATTAATTTAATTTCATCAAAACAGCATGGATTTGTAAAATCAAAATCATGTACAACAAATATCCTTGAAAAACCGGGACATTTAATTTTAAAACTGGAGGCGTATGGTGTAAACAGAATTTTTTTTTTTTTTTTTTTTTTTTGTAGTCTACCTCCCCAAGGCTGAGAAGGCCACTGTAGATGAGGAGGCTACTCGTGGTTATAACCCTCTCAACTCTATAGCTTTGAAACACAAACCTTGACGAACAAGGTCGCTGTGCAGAGAAACAAGTTGAGCGCGGTACTACCAGGGATGTGGTGGGAATTGATCTCCAAACCTCTCACTTATAAAGCGAGCGCTCTACTACTACACCACTACCGCATAGTGTAGATAAAAGGTTTTATAAGAAACAGATGTCAACAAGTCAAACAAGGTGATTTTTTCTCTGCATGAAAAAATGTTTTAAGTGGTTTACCTAAGGGAGTTGTGCTAGAACCATTGCTATTTTTGATTTTCATTAATAATTTCCCTGGTTGCCTTCAAAATGTAGCAAAACTTTATGCTGATGATTCAAATATTTTATCAACACTCAAAAGTAAAGAAAAAGTAGAAACAGTTCAAGCTGACTTAGATAAAGCTGTCGATTGGTTAAAAAAAAAATTAATTCTATTTAATTTTGGCAAATGCCTAGTTATACAATAGGAACAAAAAACAAAAGTTATACTTATCTAATAGATGGCAGAAAATTTAAAAATAAAATTTTTAAATGTACTAAAGTGGAAACAATAGATTATATCATTTACTTCGAAAACAAATTCAATTTTAGGGCAAATAAAAAACCATTTACACATCACAGTCTTAACTTAATAAATTTATTATACAAATGGTTTGTACAATCGCACATCAAATTTGCTGCCACAGTATGATCTTCAAATATAAAAGGACACATTTGTGATTTAGAGATATGATGCAGATGTAGAAAATGTTTAAAGAATTAAAAAATTTTAAATTTGTTAATCCACCATTATTTAAAAATTTAAACAACATCACAAGTTCAGATACAACAGGGAAATTATTAGGAATGCAATCAAATATAACTTCTTTATAAATAGAATCATACCATTATAGATTTATTTGCGGGAAGAACCTGTTAATGCAAAATCTTTGAAGAAAGTTAAAAAAATACAATTGCAAGTATTTTTAAGTGAAAAATTACACACATTTATTAAAACTCTGATATTTGATAAAGCTGTCAATTCACACTTTCTGGTTTTCAATTCACACTTCCTGGTGACTCTACCAGTTTTAGCGTAAACTATAGTAATAATAACAAGTTAGATTATAACAAAAATAAAAAATAATTTTAATTTTATAGTAATTTTTATTTAAAGTTTGTATGTATTATTTTAATAACAATGATAAAGTTTAAATATTTCTATTTCTTTGTAATAATATAACATTTATTTACTAAATTTAGTCACTTAATTTTTTCTGTTGTAGAAAATTGATGCTCTCTCCCAAATACTTACACAAATATCTCCTAAATACTTACGCAAACATTTCCAAAATACTTATTAAATAATTAATGTCAGGTCAGGTTTATCCTGCTACTGGTAACATGTAATCCAGTACAATCTGCTTCATGTCCTGCTGCCTTGTAGGATACACCTTTTTAGGTAAAGGTGTATCCTACAAGGGGGTGTTTTATATCCGATATAAAACACCCCCTGCCTTGGGGCTCTTGGTTGAGTTAAGGCTAGAGATGGTGTCTCGATAAAAATACTCATCTTAGGCAGATGTTAAATGCATCCGGCTGCTGTCTTGTAGAAGGCCTCCTAGGCAAAGGCTTAAGGGGTAAACAGATTCTATCTGTTGACCAGTCTTGCACCCCTTCTTCATCTATTAGGCTGGCGAAGATGTATTTTTAATACATTGTCTCCAGATTAGAATGTTAATGCTGGATCTTCTTTACTTGATGCATGGGTTTTGCTTGTGTCTCTGTTTTTATGACTAGGCACTCATTCTATTATCTCCTAATGAGGGTACAGCTCTAAAACTCAGTTTTGTGGTTCTGAGGCCAGCTGGTAGTCAGGTTTCTCTCTAATAGCTACCACTCTGTGGTAGCTCTTAGAGAGGCTGATTCCATTAACAGCTGTAAAATATCAAAGTACTAACAGTGCCATGTTGCGCATGGATGGTGTCCCTGTTTGTACTTTAGTGTGCATTGCCAAGGCCACATTGGAACGCTTTGTTATGGCTTAGGGTTTATTAATAGTAATGAGGCAATTGCTTAGGCTATTAAACAGTGTACTGAGTATTATATATGTTTCGAGTCAAGTTCTTTAACCAATTTAAAAATGAACAAAGTAACAAAAACTATAAAACACAAAAAATCACAGTCATCACCAAGTTTGCTAAATCTATCATTCAATAATATTTGTGGTCTTCGAAGTAACTTTTCTACTGTTGAGTCTTATCTCTTGCAAAGTTCACCAGACTACTTGCTCTTTGTGAGACTAATTTGAGTTCAGCTGTCTCATCTTGTGATCTTAGTGTTGATGGCTATCTTCCTTTAATTCGTAAAGACTCCAATAGTCACATGCTTGGTCTGGACATTTATATTCATAAGAATTCACCCATTTGTCGGGAAACTAGGTTTGAATCTATATAGACTACTCGTTTATGTGCCTTCGTTTAGCACCACTTCACTCTATCATTTTTCTCTTTGTTCTATATCACTCTCCTTCATCTCAAGACTGCACTCTTCTTGATGTTATTTCTGATCATATTGACCAAGCCCTTTCTCTTTATCCATCAGCCAATATTGTTGTTTGCGGTGACTTTAATGTTCATCGCACTGAATGGCTTGGTTCTAGTGTCAGTGACTTTTCAGGCATTAAAGCCCACAACTTTTGTCTTTCTCAATCCCTAACTCAAATAGTCAACTTTCCAACTTGCTTTCCAGACAACCGGAATCATTTACTTTCTCTACTCGACTTGTATCTTGTTTCTGATTTTAGTAAGTGCTCAGTTTCTCCACATTCACTTTTAGGTGCCTCTGATCACAGTTTGATCTCTCTAAAGCTGTTATCTCATTCTTCTTTATCATCAGAATCCCCCTATCATCGTACATCTTACAACTACCTTAAAGCTGATTGGGATTCTTTCCATGATTTTCTTTGTGATGGCCTATGGGTAGAAATCTTTCGTCTTCCTGTTGACAAATATGCTTCTTACATAACTTTGTGGATTCAGGCTGGCATGAAATCCTTTATTCCCTCTTGACGATTCCAGGTCAAGCCTCACTCTTCTCTATGGTTTTCCTCACATTGTGCTGCTTCAATTGTCAATCGAAACCATTACTTCCATATCTATCAGCAAAACAATTCTCCAGAAAATAAACATCTGTTTATTACTGTTAGGAACCATTGTAAAAAGGTTTTATTCAACGCCAAAGCCTGCTATTCTCAGATCATGAAATTTCGTATTTCATCTCAAAAATTAGGCTCTCGTGACTTCTGGAGATTCTTTAATAGTATCAATATGAAAGGGCAAGTCTGTAATTCCACCTCTTTTGAATGGTTCAGACATTGTCACCTCACCTAAATCAATTAAGTGTCATTCTTTTTCTGTTACTGTTTCTAAGTGCTCCAAAAACTTTTATTAATTTATCTAGTTTTTTTCCTCGAACAACAGTTCTTTGGAATTCGCTTCCTTCATCTTGCTTTCCTGATTCATATAATTTGCAATCTTTTAAGTTGTCTGTCAATCGTTATCTTGCTCTACACTGTTCATCTTTTCTCTTCCAGTAACTTCCAACACTAATTAGTGGTTGCTTGCAGCCTTGTTGGAAGCAAAGATGTTTAAAAAAAAAAAAATTATATTATTTGTATACTATATTTTTAGTGCTTACATACTTATATTTTTTTTAACTAATATTGTTTTTAAGAAGCATGTTTTGAATTAGTTTTTGCTTTTTAGGAAAACAATATATCTGTTGATAAATTCATTTGTAAAGTGGCAAAAGTTACTGAAAGAAGGCTTCAATCTTATTTAGCAGAATGCAATGAAAATAGGTGCTTTAAAAAAATACTCTATTAATAAATACTATAAATTTAGTTTAAAAGTTTTTTTAAAATATTAAAATTAATTTTTTTTTTTTTTGATAATAAAATCCAGGATAACTCTAACTTCTAAAATACTATCGGAGTTTGACAATATGTTTTTTTTTTTTTTTTTTTTATTACAAATGCTTTTCAACAAACATTTCTTTAAAAAATTTCAACCAAATCTCTCTAAAAATTCAGTTTATTTGAAATAAGAAAAAATATTATTGATACTTATTGAAATAATGATTTAAAGAAACATAGTTTAATAAAATATTTTATAGAGAATTTAGAGAAGTTGAATTTGGTTACCATGAAAAAGGGCTTATAAAATATATAAGCAATATTAATATTTTATATGCAATAACTATCATTATCACTGATATGAATCAATTTAAATTTAGAGATATTGAATTTGGTTAACATGAAAAATTGATTTAGTTTAAAAATTAATACATGTGGTTGCTTACTAAAATAAATATACAATACATTTAATTACAAGTTTACTTTTGTATGCAATCACAAATTATGATGACTCATATAAAAATGATTTTAAAAGATAACAGATTTGACTTTAAAAGCTGTTATTTATATGAATCAGGTTAAAACACGTTTTCTTAGAAAGTTTGCAGAATCAAATTTCACAAATAAAAATGTCTCTTTCACTTTTTTTGTCAAATAGAGTAGGATTTTAGCAAAAAAAAGGTTTTTAGGATTTTGGACAAAATACAAATATATTGGTTATATATTCATAAAATTTTTAAAAATTTTTTGCTTATTTAAATTTTTTTTTTTTTCATGTTATCAAAATATGGTCTTACTTTTAATAGTGTAAGAAGCCAGAAGCATAAATCAAAGAAAAATTAAAATTAATTTCAATTATTTTGAGGTTGAGTTAAACAGTTGAAAAAATATTATGAAAACCTTTTAAATCTCATTGCTATGAGGGTAATTTATTTTGAACTTAAGTTTAAATTTAGTATGGGTGTCAAATTTACTAAAAACAATTTACTAAAGTTAGAATAGAGTAAATAAAAATGAGTGTTTATTTTTATTGCAATTAATCTTTAAAGATAATAAGAAAAAAGAGTGTAGTATAAAACAAAACAAAAAAAGTGTTGTTCAAAAGTTGTTTAGAAAAAATAAACATATAGAAAGTTAAATTTAAATACGTTAATGTATAAAAATGTAACCACTAATATTTGTACCTCTTGGTATTTGAGATGTAAAACAATTTCTTTACTGTTTGGTAATTTTTAACTTGGCAATTTTCAATATTCAACTTTTCAGCATTTAGTTTTTTAGTTCATTTCAATTTTCAAAATTCAACTTCTCTGATACAAATACTGGATGTTACTCCTCTAAATCAATATCTGGCTTGATTCCTTTAAATTGAAACCAGACTTAACTCCTCTGGATTACAACTCAAAAACTCCTCTGAATCATAAATTGTTAAATATAAGTTTAATAGTGTAATGCATTTACCAATGATTCATTATCATGATTATTGAATTATTTTGTAGTTTTATATTTTTCATTTAGGAGCCTCTTGTTAAACAATTTTTCTGAGTTGTGCTCAAAAGAACTTCACGATTGGCATTTTGCATCTCAGATAAAAGATGAACAACTTAAGGTAAGTGCTATTTGTTCTTGCAATTTGAATATTATACTTCACAACTTATTATTTATTATACTTCACTATTTTTTATATATCTGATGAAATATATTTTAGAGATAGAGCCGATTTAATGTAATTTTACCAGTTTTGAGTTTTAAGGTTGTACTTAATAAACATATTAAAGCCATATAAATAAAATTTTTGAAGGTTGATCCTAAATATTTAGAAAAATATAAATAAAATTTTTTAAGATTGACATTAAATTTTTAAAAAAAAGCGTAAAAGCAAACAAAAACAAAAAAATGCTAAAAAAATTTTCCCCCTTATTTTAGTCTTAAAAATAAATATCCTAACGTATGTCCTCTAAATATTTTCTTTTAATTTTTTAGAAAACTTTAAAACAACTAGAATCGATTGTGAGCGAGCATATGCATAATGAAAAAATACAGTAAGATTTTTTGTTATTGTTGCAGCACTATTATGTTTTAATTTTATTAATATGAAAAAAATGTTAAGTATTCATATTCACCAAAAAAAAAGTTCTAATAAAAACTTTAAATAAGTTAAATCAGCATTGTGTACTCTTGACTATGTTGTATGTTGCATTAGTTCTTGTTTTATATACTCTTTCATAGGTAGTAGCAGTGTGTAAGTGTTCTTCACTACGTTGTAGCACTTTGTACTTTTCAGTATGTTGCACTTTAAATCAGCAGTGCTCACAATATGTTTTCGTTACCTGTACAGATTATTTGACCCATTTACTTCACACTTTATTTTAATCTTTTGTTTTGTTTTAATTTTTATTTACACTTAATTTTTTATATAGTTATGCAGTTAACAAAATGTTTGTTAATTTTTTTAATTACTTTTAAAGAGTTTTAATTGTTTTGCTTCATTGTTTATATTTACTATTGTTATTGTTACTATTATTATTTTATTTCTATTATTTACTATTATTATTATTGTTAATTTTAATCCACAACGAAAAAGTCTGTGAAGCTGGGAAAGCAACCAATCCTATTGAGAAATTGTCCTATTATTGAATATGGTAGATCCAGTATAAACAGAGAGATAGTAACAAGCAAAACAAAACACAGAAGTGTTGATCATATAGTTTTTTTTAGAAGTGAATTAAAAAATGTGTCAAGCTTTTTCTTAATCTATTAACATTAAAAATGAAAAAAATCACTTTTAGCTGAGTAATGTCTTCTAAAGTTGGCTCTGCTACATCAGCAACAAAGCCTAGGTTTTTGTGTTGCAATCACAATAAGACATTTTACAATCACAATGAATGAAACATGGCTCAATGATTTCACTAGACAAGCAAGTTAAAAGTCAGCTGAATGGTCAACAGCCAGTAAACATTGTTGGAAGCAATAAAAAATAACAATCAGCCAGCAAGGTTATAAATTCATTCTTGGGATGCACAAGATATAATTTTAATTGACTAACTTTGATATGGAAAAAGAATCAAAAGTGACAATTATGTTGTGTTACTTGTTTTACTAAAAGATGCTCTGTGGCAATAGGTTTAGCTTGAATGAGGGTTTCATTTAAATTCCGATATTCCTTCTTCAGATCTCAGCGCTAATGAGTACTATACTTTGATTCGCAAAGACTCCAATAGTCACATGCTTGATGTGGGGGTATACATATGCATCAATTTACCTATTTATTGTGAAATCTCTTTTGACCGTTTGACTCTTCTTTTATATACTTCCAGTTCTGACCATATAATTATCCCTTTAAATTTTTTATCTAACCTCTTGGATTCAAGCAAGAACAGGTGCTTTTATTCCTTCTCGTCGGTTCAAAGTCAAGCCTCATTCTACTCCATTGTTTTCACCTTCTTTTGAAGCTGCTATAACTAATTGTAATCTTTTTTTTTCATCTTTTTTAAAAAAAACATCTCTCGAGAGAACAAAAGACTATTTATAATTGCAATAAATCAAAAGAATTTTTCATTCAATTCAATTCTTGAATCTTATAGTTATTCTCTTCTTTCCATTTCAATTAAGCAAGTTAAACCATTGTTAGACAAAAAATCACTCGAGCTTCCATTGCTAAAGTCATATCACAATTAAATTTTTGTACAACATTTGGTCCAGACAACATTCTTGTTATAATCATACAAAACTCTCTAAACTGTTTAATAAACGTTTGACTGAGTCTTGTTTTCTTGCCTGCTGGAAAATTGCATCTGTTGTTCCAATTTTCAAAAACTCAGGTAAACACTCTGACCCTTCCAATTATTGTCCGATTAGTATTCTTTTTGTTATTAGTAAGGTCTTTGAGTCTTTGATCAACAAATTTCTCACATCTTACCTTGAGTCAAATAACTTACTGACAATATTTTCATTCAGCAAGAGGTTTTCAATCCTCTTGCTGAATGAATGAAAGGTAACTCTCTCACTGAGTCCTCTTCTTTACATCTTTGATCGTTTACTACTGATCTTTCATGGAAACAATATATACAATTGATTGCTAAATTAGTGTCTGCTAAGTTTGCTTTGCTTTGTCATGCTTGCCATTTTCTCACTACAAATCTCTTATTTGTACCTGTATGGAATATTGTTGTCATATGCTAAGTTTAAGCCTCTTTCTGATTGTCCCAAAGTTGCATCTCTTTCTCTTTTCTACAAATACTATCATAGACACTGCTCAAAGGAGCTATTATCTCTATTTCTTTCAACTAAAACTTAATCTTGCTAAATTCGTCAATCAGCAATGTCTTATTTGTTTACTGTATATGTCTATGCATACTCTAAAAACTTTTATTTGTCTAGTTTTTTTCCTCGCACTTTAACCCTTTGCAACTCTCTCCCATCTTTTTTAATAATTTTTTTTTTTTGTTTAATGGTTTGCAAATTTAAGAAAAAGAAAAGGTTTAATGAATGAATGACTTAGCAATAAAACTAAGCAGATCTAATGGAATGCTAGCCAAAGTCTGCCATTATGTAAATCTAGAAACTCTGCTAAATATATATCATGCTATTTTTGGGTCCCATCTAAGATATGTATGTCAAGTATGGGGACAATCCCATAAACAAATCATTTTAAGGTTGTCCAATTTCCAAAATAAAGCCTTGAAAATAATATATTTTCAGTTTAATAACTTTAAATCTAATGTGCTATACCTAATCTCCAATATATTAAAATTAAGCAACCTTGTGGTATTCCTTAACTGCCAATTCATCTGAAATGAATTGGCAGTTAAGGAATACCACAAGGTTTTTGAAAACAAAAACCTTCCTCTATCATTCAAAAAAATTTTTTACAAGTTTTTTAGTATTAAATTATCACTATCCTTGTCGCTCCATCAGGAGCTTAAACTTAGTTGTTTCAAAACACCACTCTGCTAAATACGGAAATAAATCCATTAAATATCAATGTATTAGCTCATGGAACAAACTACCTCCTGATCTAAAATCTCTTAATTCAATCTCTGAATTCAAAATCAAGCTTTTTAATTATTTGTTAAAAAAATACAATTAAATACTTCTACAAATTAGTATTGAAATGCTTTATTATATATATCAATTTGTGATCCTTCAGTTTTTAATTTGATATTTTTAACATTTCGAAATTCTCTACTTATCCATCTATATCTAATTTCTCTGGTCTTTTGTTATAATTGTTATCATTTTGTTACTATTATTATTGTTACAATTATTAATATTGTTATTATTATTATTATTATTATTATTATTATTATTATTATTATTATCATTATTATTTATCAGATATTATTACTATTTTCATCATTGACTACAACGTTATGTTGTATATTGAGGTATTTACTTTATATTAGTACTTGTACTATTGTAAATTTTCTTGAAATGTTATAACTTATTTCAAAATATATTTGATATAATTTGATTTAAAATTGAGTTAAAAATCTTAATAAAATAAAAAAGTATGAAATAAAATCTAACCAAATAATTGCTATGAAAAACATCTTTACCTAAAATTAATTAAAACTCAATAATCTTTAGTAATATCTATTTTTAAATATCTCCACATATTTAATAAAAAATCATGTATTTCAAATTAAAAAAATAAATTCTTATTGTTCAATCATTTAAACACTATTTGAGACAATAAAAAAGTGTTCATCAGCATGATTAAACCATAGTCATTGAAAAACATCTTAAAAAATATTGCACTTGAGTAAAATGTTTTTTAAACATATAGTTAAAATATAAACATATATATATATATATATATATATATATATATATATATATATATATATATATATATATATATATATATATATATATATATATATATATATATATATATAAACATATAGTTAAAATATAAACATATAGTTAAAATATAAACATATATATATATATATATATATATATATATATATATATATATATATATATATATATATATATATATATATATATATATATATATATATATATATATATATATATATATATATATATATATATAAACATATAGTTAAAAAAGTGAAAATTATTTTTTAAAGATATAGTTTTAAAAGTATATTTTTTATTAAATCAACACTTGAGCTATCTGAAGGAAATAAAACATTGTAGTGATAAAACAATGAAGAATTATGAACTGGTATTAGTGATGGCTTCAAAAGAATTTTTCATTAAAGATCTTTTAATATTTTGTATATTTTGTTGAGCCATAATAAAAACTGTTAATAAATAGCTAATTTAATTTTTCATTAGATGTTCAACCCTCTGAATAAGGATCATCATTCATCTATGCCAACTTAAAATCTAGAAGAGTTTGAGTTCAGCAGTTTAGCAATTAAGCTGATCTCGTTTTTTATGTTTTATAGTCAAACCTTTGTTTTACATTTTTTGCCAACTGATGGTTACATCAGTTGGCAAAAAATGTTATTGCTCACACAGGTTAAGGTTGGCAAATTATTGTCGGCCTTATTTTTCCTAATTCTGAGGGCTGGAAGTTTTCAATGATTTTTTATCTGCGTTAGGTTTATACTTGTAAAAGATTTAATAAATGTTGAGAAAATGGTACGAGTTGTAGTTACAAAGATTTGCAGCTTGTACCATTTTCTAGTCATAATTTGTTACCAGCAGCAGTGAGATTTAAAACTGCTTTTAATTGTTTAATAACATAAGGTATGAACAATTTTTTTTTTGATTAAAAACAGTCATAATACTTTTATTTTGTGTATATAAGTAATATTTTTTTAATCATTTAGTATAAAGCATTTGAGCCAGTTTCATAACAAGTATATTGAAGAGCAACGCAATATTATCAAAGTTAATGAACATAAAAAGGTATTAATACAACTAACTATGCTAGCTGGACATTAAATATAGACAGCAATAAACATTATTTATGAAAGGAAGAAAAGTAAAGTATTATATTACTTAGGATATAAAGAAATTAAGTTGGTTTAATAATTATTGTTTAACATATTTAAAAGTTTTAAACCTTTTTTGAAAACTTTCTAAAAATGAAAAATTTTAAAGTATAAATAACCTAACCAGCTATGGCAATGGAAGAAAAAAGGGATGGATCCTGGGGGTCTTCCCCCAGCAAATGTTTTTTTTTTCTTTTTTCGAAAACAACCAAAAATACCCAAAAACATCAACAACAAATCAAAACTCTTTTTAATCCTTTTACTCCAAAACATGAACTTTGACAAATAAGGCTGCTGCACAAAGAAACATATTGAGCATTGTACTACCAAGGGTGTGGTAGGATGTGGTAGTGTGGTTATTCCTGTATCACTTGATTAATAAAGGTCCCAACTGTCACTAACCTTGCTAGCTCTAAAGTTCAAAAAGTTTATCTCTTCCAATCTCTTACTCAGATAGTTAAACTTGTAACTCGTTTTCCAGGCTGTTTGTAACAGGTTTTCCATTAATCAATAACTTTTACTCTTTGATTTGAGTTCAGTCTCTGATCCTATCTTGCTCAGTTTCTCTTTGTTCTCCATTAAATGATTCAGATCATGCTATGAATTCTTTTATTTTTTTTTAAATAAAACTTTTTTTTTTCTTTAACATCAGATTCACCCTAACACTGAAGTGTTTTGTTTATTTGCTGAATTTTGTTGGTCATGTATAACCTTTTGAATTCTGGCATTTTCTTTTTTCTTTTCAAGTTAAGCCTTATTTTACCTCATCAATTTCTTTATCTTGTATTAAAATCAAATTTTGTTTCTGAAGTACCAGATTACTAATCTGTAGTACCAATATTAAAAAACTGTATAGCAATCAGCCTTCTTACCATTATTAGTCTTTAAATCATTAATTAACAAGCTTCTGATATTTCATCTTGAGTTTTATTCTCAACTTACTCTCTGACTTAATAATTTTTATAACCAAAAGTTTCTATTAAATTAAATTAATTGATGCAGTTAGGTACGGGCTTTTGCTCATAACATAGCTTTTAGTTAAGTCTGCCATGCTGCTCTTCTATATAAAATTATTTAATCATGTCTTTCTAACCGCAATAATAAAACTGTCTTTGATGGACAACACTCTTCTTTGTTTATTCATTCTTGGTCATGTGTTCTTTCTTATCTTTGTCAATGATCTTTTTGATTATCTTACCTCTAAACTGGCTCTATTAGCTGATAACACAACTACATACTTCAGTCTTGCTGATAACACAACTACATACTTCAATCTTGCTGATAACACAACTACATACTTCAGTCTTGCTGATAACACAACTACATACTTCAGTCTTGCTGATAACACAACTACATACTTCAGTCTCGCTGATAACACAACTACATGCTTCAGTTATATAACTTCAACACAACTCGCTTATTTACTGAAAACAACTATTGCATTGCTGAATGGCAATCCTCTCACTGAGTCCTGTCTTTTGGATTATTGTTCACTATTGACTCATGAAACCATAACACAATTCATTTGCAAAGTTAGTAACTGCTAAGCAGGGTTCCGGGAAGTGGGCCCAAGCCAAAAAAAACCAGCAGTTTTTTTCGGACTGTTCCACCCGAAAAAAACCAATGGATTTTTTCACAAGTGGTCTTTTTCAAATTTTGTTGAATTTGTTTTAAAATACCATATAAATTGGAAAATAATTACGAAATTGCTTTGATTAAATTTAATGCACTACTAAACTACTGAACAACTGATAAACAACACTTATAACAGTCAATCATCATTTACTTCTCGCAAGTGGCGATACACTTTGGCAAGCTTTGCCACTTTCTCTGTGCCCAAACGATTTCTTGTTTTGGACCAAATGTAGCCAAAGTTTGAAAAAATCCTTTCGAGAGAAGCAGACGAAACTGGAACACTGTGTAAGTTGAACACAAACTGGCAGAATGGCAATGGCAGAGCAGCATTTTCTGGATGGGCATCATGTTCTTGAGTTGCAGAAATTTTAGAAATCAATATTTTCCACCATTTTGCAGCAGAAAACGTTATCACAGCACTTTCTCTAAACATGGAGCTGGGATATATTTCTGTATCTTCTGCTGTGAAAGCCAGAACAAATGGTACAAAATCAGGGTGTCAAATATTTAACCACTCTTCTCCCTCATTCTACTGTTCGATTGTGAGTCTTCTATTTCCTAAAGAGCAAAAATAGTAGTTCTATGAGTTTCAGATTCATATTATAATTATTATTCCTTATCAGGCAGACCTCACCTACACAAACTACACAGTACACACCGGCTACATTATGTGATGTTAAAAAGTAAAAACTAAAGTCACATAAAAAATAAGTTAATAACAAGACTAGCCTTAAATTGTCCAAAAAATATATTTACTACAAATATTTCAGAACAAATACCTTATATGTTTTGTAAAGCTATCTTTGTTATTTTTCATTAGCCTACCTCTTTTCCTTGGATCTAGCATGTAGGTTAAATAATGAAATGGCTGCATAGTTTCTGAGAAGCGTTTCTAAAAAACTGACCATAGTTCTCCAAATCAGGGTTTTCAATTATATCCAGCCATATATCCACGCAATCAGACAACTTTGTTGTATCTGCCTGCAGCTAAATGGAAATGTAGCATGTGTCAATCACCAATTACAAAAAGAGCATAAAGAAAACTATTTTATTAAGTTAGCAATTTAGTATTTAAAGAAATATTTTGTCTTGGTACCTTATTTAAAGCTGCTGCAACAGCATCCAGTTGTTTTACAAGTTGCGTCGCCTCCCTGAATATGCTGATGTGATCCAATATTTTCTTGATGCTTAGTAAACTTTCACTTAGAGGAAGTTCATCGTCTTCTGTATCTGTGTTGCTGGTTCCAGGTATTGGAAACTTTGAGCATTTTTTCAAATGTGCCTTAATTCTCATTATTTTTCCACTTACTTCACATTCACAGTATTTGCACTTCAGTTTGCTTGAACCATCTATTTTTGTTACATGTCTCCATTCTTCAGAAATCTTCTACTCCCTTCAATTTTTGGCATATTGACTTTATTCTTTCTTAGGTGGTAAAAGTCTAATTAAAAAAACAAAAAGTAATTAGCATGATTATTTAATGGTACTATGGTAGCAAATGAATACATGAATGAATAAATAAATTAATAAGTAAATATAAGCTTAATTACCCTTTTTATGAGATCTTCCGCTTGTATTTGTATCAAACAGGTTTTCATCAATCAGTTGATTCAACTATTTTATTTATTTTATTTTTTATTTTAATAATTCTATATATATATTTTAAATATGATAAAGTACAGAACCTTATATTGATATCTTTCTGTAAAGATACAAAAATAAAACAAATTTTATTGTTAATTAAATTAAATTAAATATTAAATTAAAAATAAATATAATTAAATTAAAAATTTACTACATTCATTCTTATCTAATCAACTTTTTTTTATTTTAGGCAAGACTCAGAGTCAGAGTCTAGTAAAAATAAAACACCTTAGACTGAAGAAGCCAAGTCTTAGACTCTACACTCTAGGATGTTATTGAGCATAGCGAACATTGCATCATTTATCTCTTCTTTCTTCTAGGTCCCATTCTTATTCTTTTTTCCCATATGCATTACCTGTTGGTCCGTTGGATAGAAATTGGATAGAAGTAGAAATGTTTTTAAAAATAGAAAAAGTCCAAAAAAGTCCAAAAAAAACGACCCGGCCCGGTTTTTTTCAAGTTTGTCTGGTTTTTTTCAAACCCTGCTGCTAAGGTTGTTTCTCTTTATCATGGTTGTCATTATCTTACTCCTATTCTATTCTCTACCTCTACAAATCTTTTATTTGTCCCTGTATAAAATACTGTTGTCATGTTTCAGCTGGTTCTTCTCATAATTCTTTTTCTGATTTAGATAAGGTCCATAAATATATTGTAAATGTAGTTCGACCTGCTCTATCTGTCTATCTCTCTAAATCAAAAAACTAAAACTCATTCTCACTTGACTTGTGATTCAGCTAAGTTGCATCCTTTTATTGTATCTGTCTCTTCATGCTCTAAAAACTCTTATTCATCTAGTTTATTTCTTGGCACATCAATGCTTTTGATTTCTCTCCATATTCATGTTTTCTTGACTCATACAGCTTACAACTATTTAAGTCTTATGTTAATCGTTTCCTTGCTCTTTAGCACTACTCTGTGTTTTCTAGTAACTTTCATTTTAACTGTGGTTGCTTGCAGCCTTGTTAGAAGTAAACTAGATTAAAAAAATTATATAAATACTTTTTCATTTTTTAATAAAACCAAATATTATCTTATAAAAATATTATCTTATTCAGAGTTTGCATTTTTTGTAATTCGTTTACTGTGCAGTTTTAAACTGTAAATGTATTTATAATATACATATATATCTTTGTGTGTTTATTTACTGTCAACTCCAATAATTCGAGTTCTATACCAGTACTATGAGAAAAACCTACACAGCTAAATTTTGAAGTCCTGCTTCATGATATTTTTTCTTAAAATAACTTGACAAGAATTTTTAATATTATTCAATTCAGTCTAGTGTTAATTTTTTATTCTCCAAACAGCCAGACAATATTATGAAACTGCTGATTTAGGCTTATCAACTCTAGTACTCTATTAGATTATATTTTTGAAGCAATATTAAAAAAGTTTATAAAAAGTTATATATTTTGTTATCAACTTGTTTCTCCGCCCAGCACCTTTGTTTGTCAAGATCATTTTTCAGAGTAAAAAAGTTGAGAGAGGGTTGTAAACGCACAAAAAAAAAAAAGTTTAACAAAAAAAGTAGCTCTTTGACAGTGGGCCCCTCAATCTTGGAAAGGTGAATAAAAAATAAAAAAAATTTTGAGATCCTTATATATTTTTTCCATTGCAAAAATTTTTTTTTTAATTAATAAAAGTTTTTCAATTGAAAAAATATGTAAGGATTTCAAAAGCATATTTAAAAAATTTCATAAAAACTTAAATAAGTTTGTAATTTTGACTTATGATCTTGAAACAATAAATCTTATTATTCGCTTTTAAGCAAAGTTTATTTCATATTTTAATATTAGCATTGTTAGAAAAATGTTAGTCACCTTCTATCCACTTTGGGAAGGTGAATGATATTTCAATACTAGCATTGTTAGAAAAAATAACAAAAATTCTATTTAATTAGGTTGTGATTATAAAGTTGGTCATGATTTATTTAAGAAATATTCATGGTGTATTTATATGATATATGTATACATGTGAGTTTATATTATAATAGTAAATGTTAGTTGTGTGGTTTTTTTTTTAGTTAAATATGCTTACTCAGTTACGTGAAGAAATTCGTTCAATAAAATTACAAATGTCTAATTCTGTTGTAAGTAGTTGCTTGTTTTTTGTTTTGTTTTTTATGTTATATTGGATATTGTTTGTTGTACATGTTTATTGCACATGTTTATGTACAATAAACAACATGAAAATTGTACGTAATAGTTAATTTGTCACATTCACACAGGTTTACAGATATATTTAATCTTTTAAACATAGTTTAAATTAAGAAAGAGGTTGGCGAATGATTTATAAACTGAAAAATATATTAGTCAAAAAACTGATATTCAAAGTTTAAAAAAATTAACACAATGAATTCTGATCACTATATAAAGTGTTTAAAACAAAAACTTCTAGGCCCTTTTGAAATTCATCAATCAGTTCTCTTTATGCAAAATGGTGTATATTACCTTAGATCTAAAAAATAATGGCATGGTTCTTGAAGAAAGAAATTGTGTTAGAGTAGGCCAGCATCAGCTCAAATCTCAACCCAATAGAAAATATTTGGAATGAAAAGACTCATTGCTTTACTATGATTCCAGAACTCATTACAAGATAAAAAAAAATTTGGATTCAGGACATGTCCCTGCAATACTTTCATATCTAACCATTTTCAAAAACTCTTTGAATACATTTTCAAGTACTCTCTGAAATTTTACTCAAGAACAAAGGGCAAATAACTTAATAAGCTTTAAAGTTCAATATTTGTAGCTTTTTTACCCCTAAAATCTTGATTTGTAAGAGAAAAACATATAAAAATAAGTCAGTTTACTTCAAAATTTATGTACTAGCTGTAATATTAAACATAGTATAAAAATACGAGCTTTTTAAATTTATTTGTTATTACATAGAAAGCAACATATCCAAATATGTATCTTATTTTTATTTTTTTAAGTTAATAATATTATCTGTAATACTATTCCTTTTTTTAAATTATTAATACAGCCATCTTTTTATGAACACTAACTTTATTGTTATTATTATTTTTATTATTGTTATTATTTTTCACCAGTTTTTATATTTAGGATTTTTTGAAAGTGATAAACAAGATTTAATAAGTGATAAATCAATAAGATTTTGTGCTTAAATAAGTGTTTTTGGTTAATGGCTCTGTAAGACATCTCTGTTTGAAATATATCATATAATTTACATTATATATATTATTTTATAAAAATTAATATTTTTTGAATTTAACTGAAAGTTAAATGAAATTTTGTAATTGTTACCAAATTTAGCTGAAAACCGAAATTTTATTTCAAATTCGGCACCGAAGTTGAAACTAAAGTAAACTTTGCCTTTTACAAAGTTTCGTAATTCGAATTTTAACAAACATTTGCTGGTCCTTAGTCTTTTCAAGTTATAGAATTGAGAAAAGGTGTAATAACATCTATTTCTACAACTTTTGTCTGATTTATTTTTTCATTCATCAAATGATCAAAACAGAATGTGTGGCTTGAAGAACATGTCTGCAAGAATCTCGTAATACACAAAATAATATTGCCACAGTGTGATATTTTCTTTCTAACAATTTTGAAGTTCGACTCAAATTGTAAATATGGATTTTCACACTATGGTAATTCAGAACTTTGTTTATGGTTGATTAACAAAGTTCTAAATTCCAATTTATTCTTGCATTTGACAAAGTTATGTTAATTGAATAAAATCTTTAGAGAGCACTTGTCCTGGAGCTTTGTTCAAAGAAGTTATAAATATCACTTATTTTATTTCTTGAAGATCTTATGATATTCAAATTTTAGAATGAAATGAATGCATTCTAATATAGATAATTTAAAAAAAAAAGATTTTTATTTGAGGTATCTACGTTTTTGTTGGGTGAGGTTTTTTTTTAAATATTATTCGATACGATGCATTGTCCAAAAACATAATGCAATATGATCTTAACAACCAACTGCTCATTTCACAACCAATCTTTTTTTAGATTGAATTAGATGGAAGATTGGTTGCACTGATGGAAAAGGTCCTCGCCAAAAATCTAGTTGATAATATTTTTTTGGACTTTAGCACAATTTGTTTAATGATACTTTTCATTCAGCTTTAGGTGGCTAAATCAACAAATAAGAACTATCCTTGACGTTGTTTTGCTGCTTAGATTTGAAAGAGAAAAGGAAAAACCTCCTCTTCCTTACAAAACAGCAGTTTTGAATGTTTCATAGATTCTTTGAGGTACTTTAACATTAAAAAGATTAATGTACTTTGGTGAAATTCTTTCTGCTTCAAATGCTAAGTTTAGATTTCATTTTTGGGTATTTATCGGAGCATACCAACAATTTTTCTATCATTACTAAATATTTTTATGATTTTAAAATTTATGCTACTTAGCCAAACACTGAAAAGTTGGAAAAAGAAAACTTTTTTTCTGACTTCACTGAATGCACAAGTCCAAAGTTCATGCGCTGTGTTTTTTTGTTTCGTCCTTGTAAATTCGTATTTTTCTTCTAAACTTTAAATTTTGAAATTATAGTAAACAAAATTGAAGCCATTAATCAAAGTAAGTTTCTATGATTAAAATTGATGTGAAGCGAAATTTTTAATATCTGGCTGATCTGGTTTTACTTTTTTTGTGTGTGCTGTAAAAATTCATAATTTTTGTTAGCTATCATTTTGTTAGCTATCATTTTATAAGCTATCATTTTGTAAGCTATCATTTTGTAAGCTATCATTTTGTAAGCTATCATTTTGTAAGCTATCATTTTGTAAGCTATCATTTTGTTAGCTATCATTTTGTAAGCTATCATTTTGTAAGCTATCATTTTGTAAGCTATCATTTTGTAAGCTATCATTTTGTAAGCTATCATTTTGTAAGCTATCATTTTGTAAGCTATCATTTTGTAAGCTATCATTTTGTAAGCTATCATTTTGTAAGCTATCATTTTGTAAGCTATCATTTTATAAGCTATCATTTTGTAAGCTATCATTTTGTAAGCTATCATTTTATAAGCTATCATTTTGTAAGCTATCATTTTGTAAGCTATCATTTTGCTTATATGTGAGAAAAAGTTGTAAAGCTTTAATAGATTTTTTTGTAATAGTTATATTTAATTATTGATTTGGAATTTGGTGACATTGTATTTTCTTCCCATTGGGATGCATTTTCAGGACAATCCCTGAAGCTTTAAATATATGTAAAATTTATTTAGGAAAACCCCTGAAGCTTTAAATATATGTAAAATTTATTTAGGACAACCCCTGAAGCTTTAAATATATGTAAAATTTATTTAGGACAACCCCTGAAACTTTAAATATATGTAAAATTTATTTAAATAAATAGTTAAAGTAATTTACTAGTTTTTACTTTTATGTTTATATCAATCTGATATATTTGCCTGATTATTACCTGCAAATTTATTGAGTTCTATCATTCTTTATACGTTTTTCATTTAGAGAGAAACTCAAATAACAAGTTTTCGTCGCTCATTAGAGATGATGCTTAATAACGTTTAAATTTAATGGTTCATTAACTTGTCTAACACCGATGTATTTCGGCTAAGCAAACGTTGACCATCCGAAGCAAACGCTTCTTGGCTGACTGAAGCAAAACATTTTAGTAAATTATCATTTTACAATTTTTTTGTCAACGTTATAAATTAATGTTTTTTTTTTTTTTAGTTCTTTTTGAAAAGTTAATATCTGCTTTTTATTGTGTTTTTGCTCTTATAAAGTTGAATTTTTCGGGGTTTTTTTACAAGCTATTTATAATTTACCAAGTTGGAGACTCCTATTGTTGAAATTTGTTCATTATATTTTTCTTGTTTTATTGTTATTGTAAATTATACTATGTAATCGGTTATGTACAGTTTTTTAAATTAAAATAATGTGCTTAAGCGTTTGATCAGTGGAGATTTGAATCTTAATAAAAATTATGTGAAAATATTAACAACTTTGAACATATTTTTTCAGTTTATAAATTGTATAAAAAAAAGACTTATAGGTAATTTAAAATAAAAAATTACAAAAATTTAATAGTTACGACCTTTTATTAACTTTTATCGATTCAATAGATGTCGCCTGATATTTTCTTTTTTTTTAAAAAATTTTTGAGGATCATATAGATCCTAAGGTTTAAAAAATTCATAAATATAGTTTATCCAGTAACCATTTTTGCAGTAAATTTGCAGTAGACCTATGTATGCATTTTGAGCGGTTTATTGGAGTTTAGCTTATAGGTTAGCGATGACTTTCCAACTTGTGATATAGACGCAAGTCATTGGCTAGCCACTTTTGGCGGATACTACTAATGGTCCACTAGGTAACCGTTGAGCAAAACCACAATGGACGGCTTAAAATGTTTATAAATGTAAGTATTTTTTTGCCAACTAAGGAGACAAAAAAGAAAAAAAAAAAGGTCCTCAGTACTTGCAATTCGCCAACTATAAATATAGCAAACTATATTTATATTTAAATTTGCCAACTATAACTTTAATATAAATATAGTTGGCGAAATAACAACTATATTAATAAATATAGTTGACAAAATGCCAACTCAAAAAGCATTTCAGTTGGCACATTGAGCAAAACTTGCTCAATGTGCTAACTCAAATGCTTATATGACAGCTTTGGGGGGTGGGGGGGGGGGTGGAAGACCCCCTCCTTCGGGACGGCCCTGAGCAAACTTTCCAGTTTGTGAAAAAAGAAGAAATACTAAAACATTAAATAGTCCCTGGATTACAAAAGGACTAAAGAAATCCTCAAGAACAAAACAAAAATTATATTTAAAATATCTTAAAACAAAATCTCCTGCAAGTGAAAAAATATATTAGAAGTATAAAAAGATCTTTGAAAAGACTCGCAAAAAATTTGAAAAAAATCTATTATTCAAATCTTATCAAAAAATTTCATAACGACTCAAAGCGCACTTGAAATATAATAAAAGAATTAACTGGAAAATCAAACATATGTTCAAACTCCCTGCCAAACACTATTAATTTTAAAAACAAAATTTCCGAACCTTGTGAAATTGCAAAAAAAATTAATAATTTTTTCACAGAAATCGGAAAAAAAGCTTTCCAACAAAATTCCAACTACTGATAACTCATTTATAGACTTTTTATCCACTAGGCACGATCTAAACAATAGCAATGAATTATTGATTGAACTAACTCCCGAGGAGTTTACATAGCTTTTAAATCTCTTAAAAGAAATAAAGCTACTGACTTCGACGAAATAAATAGTAACATAATTATAGATTGTTACGAAAACCTAAAAGATATACTTTTCAAAATTTTCAAAGCATCTTTAAAACAAGGGATTTTTCCTAACAAATTGAAAATTGCAAAAGTTATTCAAATCTACAAAAATGGTGACAAAACAGATTTGTGCAACTACCGCCCCATTTCTATTCTCCCAGCTTTTTCAAAAATCTTAAAAAAAATAATTTATAATAAAACATAAAAATATCTTAATGATAATAAACTAAATTTGGTTTTAAAAAATGCATTTTAACCGAACACGTAATTATTCAATTTGCCCGCAAATCTTTGAGTCTTTTGATAAAAAGCAATACTGTCGATCAAGAAATTTTACTGCAAAAACTCAAATATAATGAGATAAATAACAATCTTTTAAATTGGTATAAAAGCTATTTAACAAATAGAAAACAATATGTCCCCATCAATAACAGACGCCAAAACGAAATGACTTGCGGTGTTCCTCAAAGCTCGATTCTTGGGCCTCTTCTTTTTTTAATTTATGTAAGTGATATAAATAAAGTATCAAACTTAAAAAAATCATGTTTGTTGATGAATCAAATTTATTTGCATCAAACCTTAGCATTACGAAACTTTTCTACGAAATGAATAAATAACTTAAGCTTATCTCTAACTGGTTTAAATGGAATAAATTAACTTTAAACATGGACAAAACAAAGTATGTTCTGTTTCACCCATTATCAAAAAAACGATTTTTCCCAAACATTATGCCAAAACTATATATTAATAAAATTGAAATAAAAAGAGAAACCGCCACAAAGTTTTTAGGAATAATTCTTGATGAAAATATTACATGGAAAACTCATATTGACTACATTAGCAATAAAGTTGCTAAGAGTATTGGCATCCTATTTAAGATCAGATTTTATTTAGATAAAAAGAGTTTAATGTAAAACTACTACTCCTTTATACATATTTATATTAACTATGCCAATATTGCTTGGGGAAGCACAAGCAAAAGTAAATTGTAACTTCTTTATCGTCGTCAGAAACATGCTATGCGTTTAATATATTTTAAAAATCGTTTAACGCATTCAAATTTTTTATTTAAAGATGCGAATGTCTTTAATGTATACCAACTCAACGTTTATAAAATTTTGTGTTTTTGTTTTATTGTAAAGTTTCAATGTAAAGATGACTCAGCACTATCTATTTTTAAAGATTTTTTCATCAAAAAAATAAACAAAGTTCAATCAATTTTGTATTGGATATCGGGCATCTTATCTCTCGAACAAAATTGTTTTGAGTAATTTTGATTTATCAACTTCATTTGAACTTTTTAAAGATAAACTAAAAAAATTTGTTTTTTCTATAAAGGATATAATAAATTACTTCTAATATGCAATAATGCACTGTATAATATTTAATTTTTTATTTATTTTTGCTGTTCTTGTTGCTTTTACGCTTTTAAAAGGTTCTGACGACAAGATCAATGTGATCTTCTATCAGAAACCTTGTTTATATTTGTAAAGCTTTTATTTATAAAGTTATTTATATAATTGAAGGGTAGATTAAGGTAATATGGGCACCTTGGTAATATGAGCATACTTAAAGATTTATTAGTTGTAAGCAGTGAGTTAAAGTTGCTTTGTGTTTTTCGAATCAACTTTATGTGGTGATAACTAGGGTTGTTCGCCGAAAAACAAAACTTGCGAAAATTTCGCATTTTTATCTACCGTAATAGAATTGTTATTACGGAAGTTGCACATGCGAAAATGCACATTCCGTAACGCGCTATACGAAAATATAAATAAATAAAATTCCGTAATAAAGCATTGCGAAAGAAAACTTGCGAAACAAATCATTTCGTAAGAATACTTACGAAATAGTTCCTTACGGAAAAAGCATTCCGGAATGTGTAGTTACGAAAAAGACGCAAAAGATTTTATGTTACGATATATTTAAGATATTAACCGTTAACAGTTCAAATAATAGATAATAAAATTATAAAAAAATGTTGTCAAATGATTCTTCAAATGTTTATACAAATATACCTAATATATATATATATATATATATATATATATATATATATATATATATATATATATATATATATATATACATTAACGGGATTTTACTGTATATATATGTGTATATATATATATATATATATATATATATATATATATATTATATATATATATATATTCATATATATATATATATATATATATATATATATATATATATATATATATATATATATATATATATATATATATATATATATATATATATATATATATATAAAAATATATATATATATATACATTAACGGGATTTTACTGTATATATATGTATATATATATATATATATATATATATATATATATATATATATATATATATATATATATATATATATATATATATATATATATATATATATATATATATATATATATATATATATATAAATATATACTTATATATACAGTAAAATCCCGTTAAGTTTAACTCTCAATGAATAGATAAACAGTATGCCTTTCTTTTTAAAAAGTATAAAGAGGATGTGTGATAAACAATTAAATACTTTATTATAAAGAACGAGAGATCTCTCTAAAGGTAAATGATATCAGAAAGAGTAAAAAGAGAAGAAATATATGTGAAACAGCGGGATGTGAACCTGGGTCTACGCGGCCAAATGTCTTAACTGAATGAGCTATACGTTCATTCAACTAAGAGAATAGTAATATTTATTTAATATATAATTTGAAACTATATAAAATATAATTTCCCTGAGGCTGTATGAGCCTCAGGGAAATTATATTCAGAAATAGTTATATTAGACTCAGAGTTAGCTAGAAATTATTACAAAGTATTTAGGACAGATGTCTAGTACAAAAAGCAAAAGATTTAAAGCAAAATGAATTATATTATTTGAAAAAATTGTTTTACGTACATTTCATCATAATTTAAGTAGAACTTAGTAAAGCAAGGGAAACGTGTTAAATTATGCACAATGAACTCAATCTTAAAAGAATAACTAACAGAAGAGAGGTTGTCACTATTGTGAAGGCGACGAAAGATCTGTAATATAGAACATGGAGGTCAAAAAATGCTATCTTAAGTAAAAAGAGTTTGATGAACAAAAGTTACAATGGCTGCGGGATGCGAACCCGGATCTCTGCGGCGAATTATCACGTATCTAACTGATTGAACTATACAATCTTATACTCAAATTTATATCTTATTAAAATTAAAAAACAATATTTTCTATGATCTATACTTTGAAAAGCGTATTCAAACAGGACTCTACATACCTTTAAAATCTGCTAGAATTTTAGTAACGTGCACACTTTTAGAAATAATTGAAATAGGTATATTTTATCAGAAATATGCTTAAGCTAAAGCATATTTTTGAGCCTCTTTTTACTATTTGCTTAAGCATATTCGAACCTGTTTCAAAAATTTCATATGCTTTAAAAAAAAAACATGTATATTCCTACCCATCATTCTTATTTTTAATATACGTAATGAGTTCAAAAAACATCGTTGTATATATTTATTATGGCACGTTTCGTAAGTTTATTTCCGTTAAGAATTCTTTCGTATGTTGTGATCCGAAATACTTTCGTTTCGAAAGAAATTTTATTTTTTATCAATATTTCTAAAAATAAAACCGTAAAAATTTAATA